CAATTTCAACCAACCCGGTTCAGTTGTTTTATGATCAGAAAACAGCAGGGCAAAACAATGAAACAGTGAGGTAACAATGATTGGGAGGATCCACCATCTGTTCCCTTCAAGATACAAATTCACCACTTCAAAAAAATAGGCTCCAACACTCCTAATCGAAGAAATGAAGAGAGAAGTCTCAAAAAAAACCAAACACAGATTTCCCTAAAATTAGCTCTTAAACTACATATTTCTACTAAGAGTTTAAGACATAAATTAAAATCATAATTCTTATTAAAATAATAATTAAAAGGGGCCCACAGGGGCTGGCCACAACAAAAAAGCAGGATATCCCCATCTTGGTTTCAAACGGGATGTGATTCTGCCTAGATCCACAACCCCGTGTATGTGGCGATCATGGGATTGCGGCATCACGGAACCAGTGCTGCTCCTGCAACACCAAATCTAAACAAAATACTATAAATCAATTAAAATGTAACATGCCATGGATAAAGAAGAGTACAATACACAAATATGTCGAGACAAAAATACACTACTATGGCATTAAAGCATAGGCATTATCTAAAGGGACACGCCAGGTCAATTGAATAGAACGCAAGATTTTTAAAATCCGGCATGATAATCCTCAATATGCAGACATGATATAAAATATGTTTAATAATTATTGCTTGCATAAGAATAATCACCTGTCCTAAGAGAAGTTCAGCAAGAACGCAACCTACTGACCACATATCAATTGCTGTTGTATATTCTATGGCCCCAAAAATTAATTCTGGGGCTCTATAGTATCTCGAGCAAATATAAGATATATTAGGCTCCCCTGGAACCTGATTCATAGTAAAAATTGAGAAAAATCATATAATTTGGATAACAAAAATAAATGCTAAATATATGACAAACCATAAAACCAACGGGAATGCAAGCATTTGACATACCAACATCTTGGCACTGCCAAAATCACAAATTTTTAATTGGTAAGTCTCGGGATGAACCTGCAAAATGAGGGTATTAGGGTCCATACTAAAGCACAAGTTTGTCAACGGTGTAAAAAATTTCAAAACATAATAGAAATTCCAAGTTACTACATAAACAATCCAGATATAGGCGATTCATTTTTTCAAGGAAATTCCATGAAATAAAACGCAATTTCCCTCTTTAAACAAGAAAGGATCATGATACCACAAATCCACAGAAAATTCATAATTTTATACAGAATTTAACCAAGTTTAACTTTCCTTTACAGAACCGCCATTGACAGTATTAATACCTGATGAAAAATAATGGGGTTTGATGTTAGGTTGATGCCCAGTAAGTAAATAGATCAATTTAATATTGAAGGATTAAAAAGATTAGTGATAACCCTAAGAAATATTGGCAGAAGTAATAAAAAAATTGAGAAGAATAAATTTAACAATCTCATGCAATGATAAGCGATAATGAATGAAAAATAAAGATTCATTAACCGACACTTTAAATAGTTGAGCTACAGCAAATGATGATGATGAAAACTCTGCTTAAGAACTCTCCTTCCGAAGTACTAGAGCCCTCCTATTTTGACTTGCAACTTTTGGTTCCTATAACAGTTCCTACAACCCCGGTGTTCCATTCCTATAGCAAAATTTAGCTTGAAGTGCCGCACAAGATTTTTGTGATTTTGGATGGTTGGTAATCTGTTTAGAAAAGATTGAGAAATTAATATACGATATTTGAGATATGTGATAGCAAACTTTGGCTCAATAAAATTTCTTCATCCAGTTTTAATTTTGCGTAAAGATTGGATATGTGATCATTTCAAATATGATGTCAGCATCACCTTGTACTAGCATGCAAAATTATTTATTTATTTTTTATTTTTTTGCTTAGTTGAAGTCTGTTCTTTATCAAAATTTTTTGATTAATATGCTAAGTTCTTAATTTCGTTCAAATTTGATAAAATTGCAATTTAAAATTTTAATTGAATTCAAAAGTTACAATTGCATGCTGATTTTTCATGATTTGATTTTCTCATTGATTTGTTCCAATTTACTTGTTCATTGCATTACGGTTACGTTCAAATTTTTGTATTTTCTAGAAAGATAGTTTTCTATGTATTTAGTGGTTTTATGATTGAATCATATTAAGTGATTCTTATGACAAATTTCTGACTTACTACTCACAAAGAGTGAATATCATATCAAGTATATTCCTATATTTAAAATCAGAACAACTGCATGCCAGTAAGAACGGGCTTGAGTCATCTATCCGCGTGATTTTACCATCAAAAGACACCACAAAGTAACAGTTACAACTGTAATATTGCCTCCAGCCTCCCAGCCGCCTCCCTCTTCCTTCCAACATTGTCGTCACCCAAATTGCCCCTTGATCTTGTTGTTCTAGCCCTCCCACAGTGTCACTGCTGCCCAAGACAGCCAGGGAACGCCTTTGTTCTGTAGTTCCACCGCTACTCACCCCAAATCCTCGCTGCCACCATCCAAGACAATAACCATACTTGATATCCTTGCATTTTCGCACCTCCCCCTCACTACCATTAGCATTCTTTTACTACCGCCACACCCCCTAATCATTACGGTCCACTTAGCAGACCTTTACCACCCTTGGGACACACCTTTAGTGGTGTTCGTTTGTGTCGTGTTATAATATTTCGCTTTAAGTAGTATTATTGTTTACTTGTTGTAGTTTGAGTTAACTCTGGTATCATTTAGTATCAAAATAAGCATAACCCTAGTCCTATCATAGAGTTTCAAGCATCTACTAAAACCCAACCCTATCTCCGCCAAAAATTTTATGTCACCCTACATCACCCTTATACACCCCATTCCACCTACCCACTCCCAAAACCTAGCCATGCCAACAAGGAGATAATCGTCGGAAGCCTGATCAAGGGAAAATAATGTGATGTCGTACATGAGAAATTCACAAAGAGGTCTCTGGGGGATTTCTAAAAAGACCATGCAGTGGAAAATTCGTCACTTACAACAAAGGTTTGTCATCTTCAAGAGGAGGCAATCTAGATGGGTCACCCATAGCCACAACAATAACTTGTTAGATCAAAGGAATGGAACGAATCACTTCCACCACATAGATTCCAAAAATGAAGGACCTCTACCTCGAAAATATTATCTGAAATATTTGAGAAGTAAGAATTTTAAAGTAAAGGTGGATTTATCAAATTTAGAAGATCACATGAATCCGAATGAGCTCATCATGTGACTCTGGACCTTGGAATGTATTTTTTTACTAATAGGACATCCCATTGGAATGAATGGTGAAACAAACTGTCAGCAAGTTAAAGAATAGTGCACTATTTTGGTGAAAATTTTTGAAGTGCGTATACCAGCATTAAGGAGAAGACAAGAACACTATTTGGTCCAAAATGAAATAAGAGATGCAACATCGGTACCAATCAGCTCACTATAGACGGGATGTTCAAACCCAGCTTCAAAAGTAGATAGATCACATCACCGGGGCAACCCCCATATCTTACAGATAAGGATCACCCCCGGTATCTTACGATCAAAGTACAATTAAGGAAACATCCAAGCCTACCCCGCCTGAGGAGGCATTAGGTCAGAGTGGAGGACATGTGGAACTAATCTGTAGTCCCAAATCCATTCCAGCCAATTAATGTTTCAAATGCCATGGATTTGGCATACCGAATCAGATTTCAAAACTAAGAGAATGATTCCTTTCACTGGTTAGGGAGCTGTTGAAGAGATAAACAGTGATCCAGGAGAAGATGAAGATTTCAGGGAAGCTTTCCAACTTCCATCTGACAAGAAAGAGACGCAGCCAGAAGAAAGACTCCAGCTGAGTTTACAGTAGCCATTCTAAAAGGTAGAAAGTCTGATGTAATGGGCATTCATACAGAATATGATATTGTGGTTCTCGAGTTATCATTTTGCAAACGTTGAGAGGAGCATCAACAAAGCTAGTATTGGATGTCCAAAAGAGCCATGAGTACAGGCTATTTCCCGAGTTGCCTTTGCTGAAAGAGGTCAAGTATGTCCACCATGAGACTCTCTTGTGCCACTTTTGAAAGCCCAAAAGGAGTCATTAGGATATTAAATTCAGTTCAACAATATACCCAATGACAGGTGATCAAGCTGAATGGATGAACCAGTTTTGAAAATTGCCTTAGAAGTTTTATTGGAAGGAACATCCTACAGTGGGATCCAATTCCTTTCATAGAAGTCTCTTGAGTGATTATACTTCAGTGTGGTCCAACCTGCCATAGATTTCATCCTAGAGTCGATTCCTCCTTACATACTTGTTTATCAGATACACTCATATGAGTACAAAGAATGGAAGAAGCAAATTACAGATTTGATATCTCGGGCTTACTTCGTGAGGATACACATTCACGTTCAGTCCCAGTTATGATTGTACCAAAATATGATGGATACTTATTCTATCAAGATGTGCTTTGAAATGCCAACGACAATAGGATTGACTTACCGAGAGATGCGAGGTTTATGCCACCTTCAAAACGGCCGACCAAACTCCATATAATGAGAAGATAGAAGCTTTACGGATTAGGTCCCTCAGAAGATTGACACAGAGCTTACCGCAATAAAATATTGTGGTACTATAACTACTACAGTACCACGGAGAATTTTTATGCAGGAGACGTGCCAAAATAAACTTGTATTCCTTTCTTACATTTTTTTCCTATTATCCTTCATTCTTTCTTGTCATTTCCTATATCTATGTGTTGTATTAAGGTTTGGAAGTCAGTTTTATGGTATTTTGTATCAGGACAACCGACGACGTATCTTATTCCCTCAGAGGGTTGTATCCTAGGTTATTCGGCTATATCTTAGCCTCCAAGTGGTGTATATTTTATATATCTCCTTCTGCATCCTCCCAACATCGGCTTACGACCGTTGTCCATTGCTACAGCAACCCAAAACAACATTTTGGTTGTTGTTTTTAGCAGTTCTAGCCATCGTCATTGCGTTCTCCTCCGCTTTGCTACCCTAGCAATTTCAACCAACCAATGTCACTGTCACCGAAGTCCAACCATCATATACTGCTACGACCACCCAAAAACCCCTTTGTCTTGTTGTTTTCCTAAAGCCACCTGAGTACCAGCTTGTGTCGTGTTATTGTATTTTCTCTTTCAAGTGTGTTGATTGTAATTGTTTATTTGTTTTTAGTAATATTGTGTGTTTTCCTGTTATGGTTTGAGTTAACTTCAGTATCAAAGTATTTAAAAATTAAATTTAAAAAATTCCCTCCACTAATCATGTATAGCCAAGTTAATCCCAAATATTACATTTATTCAATTTAGTCCCTCAAATATAGAAAATTGATTCAAGTAATAAAATAAGATTAATTTTTTATAACTGAAGTACAAAAATGAGATCAATTGTCTATAAAAAAAATTTGTGCAACAGAAATCAGCTCGTTAAATCAATTTTGCATAATTTAAAGACTAAAATTGAGAGAAATATGACACTATGGGACTAAATTGGCCATGCCACATACAAATGGTCGTAGTATTATTTTAAGATATAATCTTCTAAATAATACAATAAATGGTGTTGCAAACTACATCGAACTCGAGATGGAAAACATTGTTTCGTATTTTGGATTTAACATAGTAATTTGTTTATGATAGTCTTCTAGTTCAATCGCTCCTCCAAAAATAAAATTTAATAAGATATGTCAATAGTACCGCTAAATGTGTGGATAATACTTTTACTTGCTAAAAAAAAAGTTACAAATGACTTCTATCTATCTTCATATACCACGAAAAAATTTTGTAGTAAAATCACAAGTACAGAGAAAACACTGAGGGAATTCTTTTATAGAAAAAAAAAATTGCAGGCAGACTTTAAAAAAAAAAGACAGCACGGCTACTCTGAAAGGTAAATCAGTAAAAACAAATTTTTATAGAGCACAAATTCACAGTTCACACTTATCTAGAAAGATCTATGTTGTAGAAGTTTCAAATTATGATAAAAAAATAACAAACTTTTAAAAAAGCATTGCAAGACAGAATTATTTATTAACAAAACTGCATGACGTCAGGCGCATACAGTGCACCAGTTGTTGACTTGAGCTCTTTAGGCGTACAAAGAAAAAATAGATTTCGAAAACATAATATAATTTTGTTACATAGTTCAGCTTTCCACAATCAATATTAGTTGCCTTAATTAGCAAGCTGCAGTGAAAGTAATTAAAATCCTTCTTACTTTATAATTAAAGTAAATGAAAATAGAGATCAACATAAACACTGCAAGAAGCAGCCTGCAGTTATGCAATGAAATAAAATAAAGTAAATGTTTACCAAAAGATTTTGAGGCTTAATGTCCCGATGGCACACGCCCACAACGCGATGAATATACGAAAGAGCCCGACATATCTACCAAAAAAATGACACTTTAACTCATAGAAAGCATGAACAGTTAGAGATAGAAATCCACGAAATATTTTTATAGGAAGTCAACCAGTTACACAATCACCTGGTATGTGTAAAGTTGCACATAAATGAGAGGCATGTGCTGTTTCATCCTGGCAAAATACTTTGAAGCACGATAAACAGTCTCAGGGACAAATTCAAGTACAAGGTTCAGGTATAGCTCATCCCTTTCGGTTGTTGAAAAGAAGTGATGCTTTAACTTCACCACATTTGGATGGTTCAGCATCTGCATAATTTGGAGTTCCCTGTTCTTATATCTCTTATCCTGCAATACTTTCTTAATAGCAACTGATTCCCCTGTTTCCAGACATTTAGCCTGAACAAAGCCTTAATTGTCAGGAAGACAACTAAACAAATTACGAAAGAATGAGTTAGAAACCTCCATACATAGAAGAATGCTAAGAACCTGGAAAACAACGCCAAATGAACCAGTGCCAACAATGCGTTCCGCCATGTATGAGATTGTCTGGCATTCCATTGGTAAACACATGAAATCAGAAACTGCTCAAGTTTTATATGCCACGGACAAGATAACAACTAAAGCTATGAAATATAAGTTTTAGAAAGCCATAAAGCAAATGTTTCTATAGAGAATTATGTGACCAAATTTAAGATTCTTAAAGAAAAGGAACACTTGAAATTTAGGCAAATCCCTGTGCCCAGAAAAAGAAAAATGAACATTTATTGTGAGGTAAAGCATCTTAGATACATAGCTATCTTAAAAAGAGGTAATTTTCAGTTAAAGTGCATTCAGCATATCATTAAATTATTGAGATAACACTACTAATATTATTAAAAGAAAAAGATTTCACCTGCTTTGGCTGTCCATTCCTACCACCAATTGTTGTTGTGATTATCTGACCAGTCTCGGTTAATTTTCCTTTAGCCAACTTGGTCTCAGCATCCTAAACAGGAAATCTTTGGTAAATTAAGGTTCAGAATTGCATCACAAAGTTAATAGAATACATCATAGTAGAATAGGAAACATATCAAGAATGACCTTGACATTGTTCTCTGCATTGTCATCTTGCATGGTTATCTCAAGCATTTCTGCAGGAACTTGATGGAAATCTGCTTCTTGAGGCTTCGACATAGGGTTGGTAGAAGATGTGCTTGCCGAAGCATCCAAATGAGTTGAGGCTGTTCGAAGCTCTGGTTCAGTGTTTTCATCTTTATCTACTTCCATGTCAAATTCTGAAGATAAATCCCCTCCGATTACATCTTGCTCCGCCTTTTCCTTTCTGAAGCCAGACTCTCCACCCTGCAATCAATTGAGCCTTCAGAACAAATTAAAAAGCCCCAGAAATGTACATGCAAACATAAATGTATCAAGCAAAAAATTTTAACATGACTTGATGGTAATAATTAAAAGACTCTCCAAGCAAAGATACATGAAACGTCATAAATTCAATTAGAAAAGGGGTCATTAAAAACCTAAAATTGGTTTGCCCACTTTCTGCATTAGGGGGCACAAATGGTGAACTTTCTACCATGGCAGAGTGTGAGAAGCTTAAAACAGGAGCAAATTATACCCTCAAATTAATAAAATGCCAGCAGGTAAGCATCTATAGCAATGAAACATGACAAGTTCTATAGTAAAAAGCAAGAGTATTAAAGTCTCATACATAAATAAATTAATGGAATTGTTCAAGTTATCTTCATATCAAAGGATGGAAAACTTTCACAGTTTCAGGATTCAAAAAGATAAGTTATCTGCTAAACAAAATATTTAGGTAGCATTAAGATGATGCTGTGTCTGCTAGATGTTTAGTCTGCTCATACTTCACTTGTTTTTATGTTTACAATTATACATAGCAACCAACTATATGTGGACTTAGATGTACCTTTTTATTGTAAAAATGATTTTCATTTTCAAATAAACTGTATGATAAAGGAGATTAAAAAAAACAGTCAATCATTGATATAAGCAGGAGTAATGAGGATTTCCAGAAAATATTCTATTCATTTAATATTCAAAAATTCATTGTTTCTGTTTGATGAAACTCTTGTATTAGTTTCAATAAACAGAAAAGATGTAAAAAATATGTGGACTAACGGGCACTTATATAGTTCCCTCAAATACTATTCAGTATAATACTAAAAAGGAAGCTCAATAGATGGAGCCTAAGAAGTCTACGAACACAGAGAAGACAAATGGCATGCATCTTTACTGATTAGTCACTGCTCCCACCAGCTTTATTAGATCAGATAAACAAAATTTCCTACGGTAAGTTTTGTCATTAATAATCACCCATTTATGAACTTGCAGCCATTAGTCAATGAATCAAAATGTTATCATTATTTTTCCCCTTAGAATCTCCTATTTTAATGCCACAGCTTTTTTTTCTATTTGTCTACTGGATGAAAAAGTACACCATGAAAGGTTCTAATTACACCTAGGACACTAAAGTGTAAATTATTACCAAGCAATGAACAGTTTAGGTGCCTATTATATTTTGCAAAGTCCAGCCAATCCAAGTCCAATGAGGCTTTAACATATGAAAGCATTTTAGGAAATAAGTAGGGAAATTTCAAGTTGCTATTGTATCAGCATAACTGAAACGGGATTATTTTGGCGCCTCTCCGGCAATAACTATTTCCGCGGTACTGTAGTTGTTATAGTACAGTAGTAATCTCCCACTTCAATCTCCCGAGGTTGAGTAAGATTCGACCTCATCGGTCGAAGCTTCTATCTCCTCATCGTATAGCATGAGGCATATGTTAAAGGTGGTAGAAATGTTGTAATCTCCCAGTAAGTCAATTTTGTTGGCACTGACATTCCAAAGCATATCTTGATATAATAGGTATTCATCCTATTTTGGCACAATCATAATTGAAACTATACGTGGATAGGTATCTTCACGAAAAGCCTTCTTACTCCTCCGAGAGTATCTGATAAAAAAGCATCTAAAGTATTTAAAAAAAAAAGTAAGTAAGAATTAAGTCTGGGATGAATTCTATAGCAAATTAGTCCACACTGAAGAATAACCACTCAAGAGTGATCTCCTTCTTCTCTAAAAGGACTTGGAACTCATTGGAAAATTTTCTTCCACATAAAGTACCAAATACAATTTTCAAATTAGTGTTATATGTGTGAAGACTAACTATGACGGACAAAGCACCAACGCATATGCGTCGGTTTGTGGGCGCATTGTTGTTGATTACCAAAAGGGTTGGCGCGTATGCGCCCACTTATAAGTGAGCGCTACTCTGAGACAGAGAGATTGGCGCACTATTGGCGCATATGCGTCCAACATCGTGCGCACGACAAAAAGCTTGGTGCATATGTGCCAACTCTGAGCGCACATGCATCAGGGGCAGTTTGCACGAGATTTCAGTTTTTAATCCCGAATTCGACCAGGTTTTGTTAAGACTTGGTGTATCTTCCTTTGGACTCTTCAACGAGCATATTGGCGAAGGTGAGAAGTGTCAAAGAGGTGGATTTCAGTGATTTGACATGATTTTTGCATCGGATTGGAGATGGAAGATTGTGGAGCGCGAGTCCTGTAAGTTTTCTTGTGTGTAGAAAGAAAACTAGTGTGAGTCTTCTGTAAAAAATTTCTGAATTTCATAGTAGAATTTCTGGTGGTATGGCTCCGTGGTATTTTCCCGTTCTTGGGTTTTTCCACATAAAATTCTCGTGTGCTTTTTTGATTGCTTTGATTGTACTTTCTATTAGTTTTGTTCCGGGTTTTTCAAATCTTGTGCAATCCCGTTATTCCGCGTTGAAATTGGGAATTGTTTTGTTTGAAATTTCCTAACAAACCGGTATCAGAGCACGGTTTGGTTCAAATGAGAGCAATGACAAAAGAAGCAAGGTTCAAAGAGGAAAAGTTTAATGGGACGAACTTCGCTTTCTGGAAGATGCAAGTGAAGGATTTGTTGTATCATAAAAAGATATACTTACCACTACAAGGAATTACAAAGAAGTCTGAATCTATACCTATGGAGGAATAGGAAGTGTTGGATTGAATGATACTAAGTTTGATCAGATTAACACTTTCCTCATTTGTTGTGTTCAACACTGTGAATGAGAACACTACCGTGGACCTCAAGGTAGCACTTTTCAAGATGTACGGAAAGCTTTTTGGTTCCAATAAGTTTTTTCTGATGAAGAAATTATTTAATATAAAGAAAATAGACGGCAGTTCAATAACAGAGCATCTCCATAACTTCAACACTGTGACGAGTCAGTTATATTCTGTGGGATCAAATTTGATGATGAGGTCTTTATTGTCAGACAACTGAGATGATTTGGTAACGACGGTGAGTAATTCTTCAGGACTTCGAAGTTGAATTTCGATGACATCGCAAGTTTAATGTTGAAATTTGCATAAAAAGAACAGTGAATGGTGGATCTTTAGGTTTTGCATTGAATGTTGATAACAGAGAAAGGAATCTGGGAAAGAATACAGGCAGAGGCAGATCCAAGTCCAAGAAATGAAAGCCCAAGTTTAGCAGAAGAGAATGCTGGAACTGCGATAAGAAGGGGCATTTCAAGAAGGATTGCAAAACTCAAGGAAAGTTGGTGGTGAAGAACAAAAAAGTAGTTACTCTACTAATGTCTCCACTGGTGAAATCCAAAGTGACTCCCTGGGGTTATTCCTAATCAGTACTGACTCCTGGGTAGTAGATTTAGGTGCCTCTTTTCATGTTCACCCTAATAAAGAAGTATTTAAAAACTAAATTCAAATTGATCTAGAGAACGTTTATTTGGGAGATAACAAGGTTTGTGGTATAGTAGGAAAGGGTGACGTTGATATCAAGTTATAAAATGGAACGGCCTGGAAGCTTACTAAAGTTAAACATGTTCCAAGTTTGAAGAAAAATCTTATCTCTGTGAGCCAGCTGACAAAGTCTCTTGATAGCTTTCACAGGTGATTTGTGGAAAGTGATCGGGGGGTATTAGTGATGGCTCAAGGCAACATTGAAGACATCTTTTATTTGATCAATGAAATGACTGATTTCATTGATGTGGCTGGAACTAAGGTAGCTGCAAGTCTATGGCATCGTAGGCTTAGCCATATGAGTGGAAAAGTATGAAATCCCTACTTTCAAAGAATAAAATTTAGGGTTTAAAATTAACTAATCTGAATTCTGTGAAGATTGCATATATGACAAGCAGAAGAATATTTTTTCTCTAAGAGCGAGTCATTAGTGAAGTCAAAAAAACTAGAGTTAGTGCATATTGATGTATGGGGCCCTACTCCAGTTCAATCCATTGGAGGCTCTTGCTATTTTGTCACGTTCATTGATGATCACACGAGAAAGATATGGATTTATTTCTTAAAGCACAAAACTGATGTATTTAAAGTTTTTAAGAAGTGGAAGTATATGATAGAAAATGAAACAGACTTGAAGCTGAAGTATCTCAGATCAGATAATAGGGGTGAGTATTGTGATCAAAAGTTCAGAAATTTCTGTGCAACAGAGAAGGTCAAGCATGAGTTCATTATCCCAAGGACACCGCAGCAGAATTGTTGAGCGCATGAACAGAACAATCACGGAGTGTGCTAGGAGCATGAGACTACATGCAGGCTTGCCAAAACAGTTTTAGGATGAAATAGTAAACACTGCAGTTTATCTGATTAACTGTAGTCCATTAGTACCTTTGGAGAAAGGCTTACCTGAAGAAGTCTGGAGTGATAAAAAGGTATGTCTATCTCGTTTAAGACTATTTGGGTGTTCTACATAAGCACATGTTGATGCAGAGACCAGAAGCAAGCTTAACTCAAAATCAGTCAAGCGCACATTCATTGGATATGAGTCAAATAAATTTGGGTACAAGTTTTGGGATTATGAGAATCAAAAATTAATCAAGAGCAAGGACATCACTTTTAAGGAAATAGAGATATACAAGGACGGGGTAAGAACTCGGGATAGTCCGTCATCTATTTTTGAAGAATACAGATATGTGGAGATAGATGACATTCGTGATCAGGAAGATGAAGAAAGAAGAGGTGATCAAACAGAATGAGCACCTGGAAGTTCCTCACTCACATGTTACAGAAATCAGAAGATCCAGCAAAGTATTATGACCATACACAGGTACTCTCCTTTTCACTATTTGTTACTAACTTACAGTGATGAGCCAGAGTGCTTTGAAGAGATCACTCAAGTTGAAGATTCAAGGGAGTGGGAGCTCACCATGAATTAAGAAATGCAATCCTTGGAGTCAAATCAGACTTGAGATTTGACGGTACTACCAAATGACAAAAGAACACTGCACAAAAAATGGGTCTACAAGGCGAAAGAGGAGTC